GGGACGAAGCCTATTGAAAATGGTTAAGATCGGTCCATTATTTCACCTAGCCCCCATACAACTGAACCCCCCAATAGGGCTTGTAATCCTTGTAATCAAACTACAGGTCGCAATTTTGAAGATAATTCAATGAAATTTGGTACATGATCTTCTATTGTCCCAGGGACGAAGCCTATTGAAAACGGTTAAGATCGGTCCATTATTTCACCTAGCCCCCATACAACTGAACCCCCCAATAGGGCTTGTAATCCTTTTAATCAAACTACAGGTCGCAATTTTGAAGATAATTCAATAAAATATGGTACATGATCTTCTATTGTCCCAGGGACGAAGCCTATTGAAAATGGTTAACATCGGTCCATTATTTCACCTAGCCCCCATACAACTGAACCCCTCGAATAGGGCTTTTAAAACTTGTAATCAAACTACAGGTCGCAATTTTGGAGATAATTCAATAAAATTTAGCACATGATCTTTTATGGTACCGAAGATGAAGCCTGTTGAAAATGGTTTACATCGGTCCATTATTTCACGTAGCCCCCATACAACTGAACCCCCGATTAGGGCTTTTAAAACTTGTAATCAAACTACAGGTCGCAATTTTGGAGATAATTCAATAAAATTTAGCACATGATCTTTTATGGTACCGAAGATGAAGCCTGTTGAAAATAGTTTACATCGGTCCATTATTTCACCTAGCCCCCATACAACTGAATCCCTCGAACAGGGCTTTTAAAACTTGTAATCAAACTACAGGTCGCAATTTTGGAGATAATTCAATGAAATTTGGCACATGATCTTTTATGGTATCGTAGACGAAGCCTGTTGAAAATGGTTAATATCGGTCCATTATTTCACCTAGCCCCCATACAACTGAACCCCCGAATAGGGCTTTTAAAACTTGTAATCAAACTACAGGTCGCAATTTTGGAGATAATTCAATGAAATTTAGCACATGATATTTTATGGTACCGTAGATGAAGCCTGGTGAAAATGGTTTACATCGGTCCATTATTTCACCTAGCCCCCATACAACTGAACCCGCCGAATAGGGCTTTTAAGTTCATAATTATGTTTAATATACTCATATCTCGACAAAAAGCTGCAATAACCAAGTTGTATACAAGACTTGATGACCCCCACGAATTCCATAATAATAGGTTCTCATATGACGCTAGCCCCTATGAAAAGCCCCCATCAAAATTTCACTTAAATGTCCACAATTTTATTCAACAATAAACGGCTTAAGTATGTATATCTAAGGCAAGGTACAATTCAACTTAAATGCTTTATTATGGCAACTAAATCACATTATATTTTTGTCAAAGGTGTAGGGTATTATATGGTCGGCCTCGCCCGACTATAATTTCTTACTTGTTTAAAATGTCATAATGACCATGGATATTGTAACACTTTTAAAACAGAAATTTATTAGAAAATTTGCTTAGAATTTAAGAAAGGGATATACTTATTCCGAAAAGTATTGGTACCAAATTTGGTATATGTTGCATTTTGGATTGCTTTTAAAAATTGTCCTGGATAACCGGCCTTCGGGCGGGCTCAGGGATTCTCAACTCTGGGGTATTTCGAATACCGGCTTCGCTAAATTAAGCCTGTTTTTGACAAATGGACTCTTTGAAGTTCATGGACTTAATGTCGCATTGGACATTGTGACACTTTTGAAATTGTCATTATGACTCAATTTAATGAGTCATAAGGTCTATGGATATTATGACACTAGATTAAAAAATTCAAACTTTATGTCGAATTTGGTTTTCAAATCAAAATTTATTTAAATATTAAGTTTCTAAAACATATATTTGCAATGTTTAGATCGTGTTCGAAAATTCGAACTTAATTTCGAATTAAAATTTTATGTCAAAATTATAACCTAAAAGGATTTTCTGTATATATTTCAAATTTTAAAATTTATTATTAGGACTTTTTTCAAGTTTTTGTACTTTTCTATTATGTTCGAATTTTCGAATTTAATATCGAATTTTGATTTAAAAACTGATAAAAGTACAACTTTCCATGCCTGGTATTAACAAAAATTTTGCAGTAAATTTAGTTTCAATTCTCTTTTAAACTCTATTCTCTTAAGTTTTACTAACATAATTTTAAGTTTAAAAATAATTCAAAGAATTCAAAAAACAATGCGTTTAACCCATAAAATGTAACTTTAACTAGGGTTTACGTAAACGGTGTTTAGGATTTGCGTTATACACTAAACATATTACGAAAAAAAAAACAATTAAATTTTTAATTTTTATTTCTATAAACATTGAACATTATTTTAAATAAGTTATAAACATTTTGACAGCTTTATAACTATAATTTTAAAAATTTTATTAAAAAAAATTAATTTTTTATGATTTTCTATTTTAAGTTTTTTTAAACTGCACCATTTTTTAGTTTAACGTAATACAATTAGTAGTTTGAGGAGTTTTAAAAACTTCTGAGTTTTTTCTTATAATTTGCCATAATTTCTAACAAAAAAATTTTAAGAATTTTTTTTTTTTTTAATTTTATATATAATGAAAAAAACTAAACAAATTATTAACAAACAAACAGTAAAGGTTTTTATAGAGTAAGCAGTGCAAATTTTTGATACAAACATTAAAGCTGTAATAGAATTTTAAAATTTTAAACAGAAACAAACTTCATTTTTGTGAAAACTTGTATTTAACTATAATTATTTTTATTTTCCCTTTAATAACTTATTTATATATAATTTTTCTTTAGTTTAGTTTATATATAATTGAGAAAAAAAAAAAATAACTTCCTCTAAAATCTTTTAACATTGGCTGTAAACATAATTTGCTTAAAGTTATTGTTTAAAACAATAACCATATAACTTGGAATGTTACCTTTTAACCAAATAATAATAATTGATTTTTTAACATTTTTTCCTTAAAATAAATAAAAAAAAACTAAAAACCGCAAATACCTTAAACTAAAAGTAAAAACTTTGATAATATTTTTTTTAAGATTTTTTGGTGGTCAGGCCTTTTGAATATAATTAATACAACACTTTAAGAAAAAAAAACTCTATAAACAAAAAACTAACCTCACTTATATATTATAACAAATATATAATTTTTTTAAACAACTCAAAAACTAACCTCAATTTTGTGACATTTTCATTGAAAAATAAATTATATTATTGTGTATTTTATCAATAAAAACTATTGATTTGAAAATGATGTTATATGGATTTTTGAAACATCGTTATTATTAGTTATAATTGTTAAAAAAAAGATGGCATTTTTAAAAAATTTCTATTTATATATTATCTTATATTATCCCTAAACCCTATAAAATCCTTTAAGTGTATTTAACCAATATTTTTTTTTACAAAGACTATACAATTTTTGAAAGTCTTTTAAACTATACACACCTAAATATTTTTGCTATCAAACGCATGCATACAAAATTTATAACTAAAATATTTGTAAAAATATTAAAATTAAGATTTCTTTTACTTTTTTTTACAAAATTCTTGAGTTCTATGCACCTTTTTAAACAACTTTATGTTGATTTAATTATAATTTCTGTTTTATTACCAAAAATACGAATAATTTTTTTCTTCTTATTTTTCATATTATGTAAAAACTATAAAAAAATCCTACAAAATCTTCGATTCTTATATAAAATATACTGTTAATATAAAAAAGGGTTGTTATCCTGTAAGTAAAATATTTCAAGGATTTTTAGGTTAACATTTCAATGTTTAACATTTACCAACACCTTATGTAATTGATGTTGTATGCAAAAAGTACAAAGAAAAATTAATTAATATTCAAATAGAGTGTCAATATTGTTAATAATCCTCATTGCATAGATTTCAATTCTGAAATGAAAATATTCGTTTGAGAATTTTCAAATTAAAACGCCAGCTAACCAAATCATTGAATGTTAAAGGTGTTAGAGAGTGGAAATATAAAGTAGTAATGGTACAATTTGGAAAACAAAATGTTGATTCAGTTCTAGTTCTAGTTCAGTTCTAGTTCAGTTCTAGTTCAGTTCTAGTTCAGTTCTAGTTCAGTTCTAGTTCAGTTCTAGTTCAGTTCTAATTTAGTTCTAGTTCAGTTCTAGTTCAGTTCTAGTTCAGTTCTAGTTCAGTTCTAATTTAGTTCTAGTTCAGTTCTAGTTCAGTTCTAGTTCAGTTCTAGTTCAGTTCTAGTTCAGTTCTAGTTCAGTTCTAGTTCAGTTCTAGTTCAGTTCTAGTTCAGTTCTAGTTCAGTTCTAGTTCAGTTCTAGTTCAGTTCTAGTTCAGTTCTAGTTCAGTTCTAGTTCGTTCTAGTTCAGTTCTAGTTCAGTTCTAGTTCAGTTCTAGTTCAGTTCTAGTTCAGTTCTAGTTCAGTTCTAGTTCAGTCTAGTTCAGTTCTAGTTCTAGTTCAGTTCTAGTTCAGTTCTAGTTCAGTTCTAGTTCAGTTCTAGTTCAGTTCTAGTTCAGTTCTAGTTCAGTTCTAGTTCAGTTCTAGTTCAGTTCTAGTTCAGTTCTAGTTCAGTTCTAGTTCAGTTCTAGTTCAGTTCTAGTTCAGTTCTAGTTCAGTTCTAGTTCAGTTCTAGTTCAGTTCTAGTTCAGTTCTAGTTCAGTTCTAGTTCAGTTCTAGTTCAGTTCTAGTTCAGTTCTAGTTCAGTTCTAGTTCAGTTCTAGTTCAGTTCTAGTTCAGTTCTAGTTCAGTTCTAGTTCAGTTCTAGTTCAGTTCTAGTTCAGTTCTAGTTCAGTTCTAGTTCAGTTGTAGTTCAGTTGTAGTTCAGTTCTAGTTCTGTTCTAGTTCAGTTCTAGTTCGGTTCTAGTTCAGTTCTAGTTCAGTTCTAGTTCAGTTCTAGTTCAGTTCTAGTTCAGTTCTAGTTCAGTTCTAGTTCAGTTCTAGTTCAGTTCTAGTTCAGTTCTAGTTCAGTTCTAGTTCAGTTCTAGTTCAGTTCTAGTTCAGTTCTAGTTCAGTTCTAGTTCAGTTCTAGTTCAGTTCTAGTTCAGTTCTAGTTCAGTTCTAGTTCAGTTCTAGTTAAGTTCTAGTTCAGTTCTAGTTCAGTTCTAGTTCAGTTCTAGTTCAGTTCTAGTTCAGTTCTAGTTAAGTTCTAGTTCAGTTCTAGTTCAGTTCTAGTTCAGTTCTAGTTCAGTTCTAGTTCAGTTCTAGTTCAGTTCTAGTTCAGTTCTAGTTCAGTTCTAGTTCAGTTCTAGTTCAGTTCTAGTTCAGTTCTAGTTCAGTTCTAGTTCAGTTCTAGTTCAGTTCTAGTTCAGTTCTAGTTCAGTTACTAGTTCAGTTCTAGTTCAGTTCTAGTTCAGTTCTAGTTCAGTTCTAGTTCAGTTCTAGTTCAGTTCTAGTTCAGTTCTAGTTCAGTTCTAGTTCAGTTCTAGTTCAGTTCTAGTTCAGTTCTAGTTCAGTTCTAGTTCAGTTCTAGTTCAGTTCTAGTTCAGTTCTAGTTCAGTTCTAGTTCAGTTCTAGTTCAGTTCTAGTTCAGTTCTAGTTCAGTTCTAGTTCAGTTCTAGTTCAGTTCTAGTTCAGTTCTAGTTCAGTTCTAGTTCAGTTCTAGTTCAGTTCTAGTTCAGTTCTAGTTCAGTTCTAGTTCAGTTCTAGTTCAGTTCTAGTTCAGTTCTAGTTCAGTTCTAGTTCAGTTCTAGTTCAGTACTAGTTCAGTTCTAGTTCAGTTCTAGTTCAGTTCTAGTTCAGTTCTAGTTCAGTTCTAGTTCAGTTCTAGTTCAGTTCTAGTTCAGTTCTAGTTCAGTTCTAGTTCAGTTCTAGTTCAGTACTAGTTCGGTTCTAGTTCAGTTCTAGTTCAGTTCTAGTTCAGTTCTAGTTCAGTTCTGGTTCAGTTCTAGTTCAGTTCTAGTTCAGTTCTAGTTCAGTTCTAGTTCAGTTCTAGTTCAGTTCTAGTTCAGTTCTAGTTCAGTTCTAGTTCAGTTCTAGTTCAGTTCTAGTTCAGTTCTAGTTCGGTTCTAGTTCAGTTCTAGTTCAGTTCTAGTTCAGTTCTAGTTCAGTTCTAGTTCAGTTCTAGTTCAGTTCTAGTTCAGTTCTTTTTCAGTTCTAGTTCAGTTCTAGTTCAGTTCTAGTTCAGTTCTAGTTCAGTTCTAGTTCAGTTCTAGTTCAGTTCTAGTTCAGTTCTAGTTCAGTTCTAGTTCAGTTCTAGTTCAGTTCTAGTTCAGTTCTAGTTCAGTTCTAGTTCAGTTCTAGTTCAGTTCTAGTTCAGTTCTAGTTCAGTTCTAGTTCAGTTCTAGTTCAGTTCTAGTTCAGTTCTAGTTCAGTTCTTCTAGTTCAGTTCTAGTTCAGTTCTAGTTCAGTTCTAGTTCAGTTCTAGTTCAGTTCTAGTTCAGTTCTAGTCAGTTCTAGTTCAGTTCTAGTTCAGTTCTAGTTCAGTTCTAGTTCAGTTCTAGTTCAGTTCTAGTTCAGTTCTAGTTCAGTTCTAGTTCAGTTCTAGTTCAGTTCTAGTTCAGTTCTAGTTCAGTTCTAGTTCAGTTCTAGTTCAGTTCTAGTTCAGTTCTAGTTCAGTTCTAGTTCAGTTCTAGTTCAATTCTAGTTCAGTTCTAGTTCAGTTCTAGTTCAGTTCTAGTTCAGTTCTAGTTCAGTTCTAGTTCAGTTCTAGTTCTCTTCTAGTTTTGGTCTAGTTCTGTTCTAGTTTTGGTCTAGTTCTGTTCTAGTTCTAGTTCTGTTCTACATAATTCAAAAAAATGAGAAATGATCAACAATTATTTTTAAGTTTCTTCAAAATTGTTCCATAACTACTTTACTATATCCCGCAAATAATTTCAGGTTGTCCTTTAGTTAATAAAATCACAAATTGTTGTGTAGAGTATACAAAAGGCTTTTAAAACTTAATTCCTTGTAAAATACAAAACAAATATTTACTAATAAATAATTTTCTTTATCATTTCAATATTAATTTCATCCATTTATGTTTAATTTTTCTTTTCATTTAAAATAAATTCAAAAATAACTTAAACTAACTGAAAATCAAAAACTTTACGTAACGTAAACAATAACGTCACTAATTTATCCATGCCATCAACCGCAAAACAAAAACTAAAATAACGTTATAACAAAAACAAACCAAAAACACCTTGTATCCAATACACAAACCTTTTGTCAAATGAAAAAATCCTGTTGAACGACAACATAAATAACATAATGTTAAATTTGAACAACCACTAAAAAAATATCCCACTTATTATATGCCATAATATTAACCTTAAATATAAAATGCGTGTTCCACCACCACAACAACTAACTTTATTTATAACATACAATTTGAAACTTTATAAAAATTACCAACGAAAACAAATTGTCCTTGAAATAATCAACAGCGTGACCGTTATCGTTTACGTGTTCGGGCCTCCGATCGAGGTGAACCGCCATCATACGCCGATGTTGATGTTGAATTAGATGTCGTCGATCGTAATAATAAGCCACCCATTTGGGATAAGGTGGTCTATGGACCTATTTATATACGTGAAAATGTCACTGTGGGTACGGTTGTAACATCGGTTAAGGCAAGGTTTGTATTTAACGCTATACCAATCATTCATTCTCTATTTCCTTAACTCTTTATATATTAAATATAACTTGCTCTCTGTAAACCAATTTTAACAAATTAACAGAATACATACTTATATTTTTTGGATATAGAGAAATCTGCTAAAAAATACCAATAATTTTTCTTAATTTCTTTAACATACTAATTTTCTTTGAAATATATTTTTAACTCCATTAACATTATGTTAAGTGCTTTGTATAACCGTTAACTAGGGGGATAACAGTAATTTTTGTATTATGAAAAAAACAGTAACCCCTAATATTGGTTTTTGGTCTATATAAATCCAGTAACAATCATACATTAACAACCCCTAACATAGTATGTACAACGAATTGGCTAATTGGTGTAAGATAACATAATTTTTAAGATTCACACAACCTATTAAAGACCACCTCAAGGTAAACTTAACAAAAATCCCTTCCATTCACTCAACCGAAGGACCAAACAATATTGGTTGATTTTTTAAAATTCCTTTTTAAAGCATGCGTAAAAGTCCCTTGGTATGGTGTTGAGTTGAGTTGGCAAGGGTCCTTGTTGATGGTTCATTTTTGGTTGTTAACTAAGCTAAATCAACAAAATTTATATGACATTTTTTAGCGCAGATTTTTTTTTTCGGCAAAACAAATGTAGGGAAATTTCCTGTAAAGGATTTTTTTATGAGAACAATTTTTGGGTCTTATTTTTTTCTGTCCCCGAAATTGTATGTGCAAAATATTACATATTTTTGAATTTTGCATTTGTCACCAGTATTTCAATATAAATGTTGTTATTTCCTTTGAAAAATAAATCTAATCCACATGCATACTTACACATACTACTACAAATTCAGTAACTGAAATTGGCTGTGGTTCCCCCTTCCCAACAATTTGCAACATCAACTTTATCAGTATGTATAAAATACCTCAATTATTCATTAATAAGGATCTGGTTTCTTCAGGATATTGGTAAAAAAAACATAATAATACGTACAGCAATGGAAAGGAAATGGTACAGATTTTTTTGAGAATCCTGTCATTGATCCGAAAATTAACTTGTTTTTCAAGAATTTGTTAAAAGAGAGAGAATTTATGGAAAATTCTCTGTAGAAACAGAATTTATGGAAAATAATCTATGGAAAGATAATTTATCGAAAATTCTCTATATAACGAAAATTTATCGAAAATTCTGTATTTATCGAAAATTCTCTATAGAAAATTCTCTTTTTATAGAGAATTTTTCGATAAATTCTCTTTTTATAGAGAATTTCTCGATAAATTCGCTTTTTATAGAGAATTTTCGATAAATTCTCTTTTTATAGAGAATTTTCGATAAATTCTCTTTTTATAGAGAATTTTCGATAAATTCTCTTTTTATAGAGAATTTTCGATAAATTCTCTTTTTATAGAGAATTTTCGATAAATTCTCTTTTTATAGAGAATTTTCGATAAATTCTCTTTTTATAGAGAATTTTCGATAAATTCTCTTTTTATATAGAATTTTCGATAAATTCTCTTTTTATATAGAATTTTCGATAAATTCTCTTTTTATAGAGAATTTTCGATAAATTCTCTTTTTATAGAGAATTTTCGATAAATTCTCTTTTTATAGAGAATTTTCGATAAATTCTCTTTTTATAGAGAATTTTCGATAAATTCTCTTTTTATAGAGAATTTTCGATAAATTCTCTTTTTATAGAGAATTTTCGATAAATTCTCTTTTTATAGAGAATTTTCGATAAATTCTCTTTTTATAGAGATTTTTTAATAAATTCTCTTTTTATAGAAAATTTTTGATAAATTCTCTTTTTATAGATAAATTTCGATGAATTCTCTTTTTATAGATAATTTTCGATAAATTCTCTTTTGATAGATAATTTTCGAATAATTCTCTTTTTATAGAGAATTTTCGATAAATTCTCTTTTTATAGAGATTTTTTAATCAATTCTCTTATTATAGAGATTTTTCGATAAATTCTCTTTTTATAGCGAATTTTCGATAAATTCTCTTTTTATAGAGAATTTTCGAAAAATTCTCTTTTCATAGAGAATTTTCGATAAATTCTCTTTTTATAGAGAATTTTCGATAAATTCTCTTTTTATAGAGAATTTTCGATAAATTCTGTCTATTCCCTTTTCTTTACTGTACGTTTCCAAAAATGTATAAAAAATCTAAATTTGTAAAATATTATAAAAAACAAATGGTGTTGGGTTTCTTAAAGAAAAAAAATTATAAAAAATATAAATTAATTTTAATTTTATATTAAACTACTGCTACACTTAAAAAAAAATTTGCTATGATAATATTTAAACAATTAACAGGTAAATAATGCTACATAACAAAATGTATATCATAAAATTAATATAAAAAAATGTTAAAAAACAATTTAAAAATTTATTTAAATCAAAAAGAAAAGAATTAAGTACATAGTAACAAAAAAACCATATGTATTTATATATGAATGTAATGCTTTTAAAAACAAAAAATTATATAACAAAAAATTGCACTAAATCCTAAATATCTATATAATTTTTCTTTTTTTAATTTTATTTATATTTAGTAAAATAATTTTTATTTTTATTTAAAGAAAACATATAAATTTAAAAACATCTTTAAATATAAGAAAATTTTTTTACATAAACCAAGAAAAGGCTAGGATCGAGACTTTTTTTGTAACAATATGAATTTTAGGTAAAATTCTTTAATTTGCACTGCCTATGAAATTTTTAATATATTGAGAAATATTATAAACAATTTATAAATTTTTATTTTTTACTTAAATAATTTTTCTTAGGTGTTGGTTTTTTTTATACTCAACTCTTGCTTTATAATTTTGTTTATAAAAACTTTAATTATTTTCAAATATGTTATATATAAAAAGAAACAAACTATAATTTTTTTGTATTTTGCCATTTTTTAATTTCTTCTATATTGAAAAACTAAACAACAACTCCATATAAATCTTTAAAACAAACTCAAACTCAACACTGGTTTTTGTCAACAAACTTGAATTTTTGAATGTTACAAAACCGCCCAAAATATAACTGCCTCATTATAATAATAAAAAAAAAAAAACAAACAAACAATAAAAAAAATATTTATATCGAAATATATTGAAACAAAACTATAGCGTGAAACCTATAAATTAGAAGCCATGGCACAAGACAAAGGCTATCCACCTTTATCACGTACCGTAGAGGTTCAAATCGATGTTGTAGATCGTGCCAATAATCCACCTGTCTGGGATCATACCATTTATGGTCCTATTTATGTCAAGGAAAATATGCCAGTAGGTGGCAAAGTCGTCTCGATCAAAGCCAGGTCTGTTTAATATTTAAAAAATCAAAATGCAATAGTTAATTTTTTTACTTATACTATTACAAAAACAAAACAAAAAACAATAAATTTTTGATACAATTGTTTTTTTTCTTAATGAGTTTTTATTAAATAAAATTTTATGTTTTTCTTAATAATTTATTAAATGTTTAATTTATTTATGTATGTTCTTTATAATATAAATGTTTAATGTTAATTGCACAATATGCACTGATTTTAGTAAAATTATTTTATATATTTATTCTCCGCCCGAAAGAAATGCTCAATTTCTTAATTTGTTTGTAGAAATCAAAAAAGTTTATTCACCTTTTATTTTACATAATTAAAAATAATGTTTGAAATCCATTCCCTCAAAATTTTATTTACATATTTATATTTTTATTCATTTTTTTAATATTTTTCAAGAATTAATATTACTTATACGCCAGGGTGTGCAATACATTAAAAATACTCATACGTACACATGGCTCTTTCAAACACACCAAAGCGCTTTAGTAATGTCAGTCTGTCAATTAATCTATTGAAATCATTTTCAAACTGGTGAATAAACTTTATGATTTTCCTTTTTTGTTTAAGTTATAATCACTTTCTCCTAATTTCAAACTTTAGCTAATAAAGTTCCTTCCCTCTTTGTTTATATATTAAATCCTTTAATATTATTCTCAATCACCTAAAAAATTCCCTTTCCCCTTATCATCCTCTTTATCATATTAACCCTTCATTTTGCACTTGCCATTTTATACGTTTTCATCTGCACCAAACCAAAGAAAATATATTTATTTATGAAATTTAAAATCTCTATTATTGCCACTCGTACTACACATTCACTCACCTGTTTTTAATGTTGAATAAAAAGATAAAAATGCACACACACCCTTATTTTCACAAAAAATATTTTTTTTATAAATTATATTAGCTAGTTTTAAAATTATGAAATCACATAAAAAGCACAAAAAGTATTTATTTACAGCACAATTTTGTATAATGTATGTATTTTGTAACTCACACGCTAAGCGCTAGTTTTATTATACGTCCGAGTTTCAGATCAGAAACAAACCCAAAATAATCAGATTAATAAACTGAAAGCCAGTTAATAATTTCAAATCTTTGTTTTCTTCAAGACAATCAGATTTAAGATCTATTTCTGTTCTAGTTCTGTTCTAGTTCTGTTCTAGTTCTGTTCTAGTTCTGTTCTAGTTCTGTTCTAGTTCTGTTCTAGTTCTGTTCTAGTTCTGTTCTAGTTCTGTTCTAGTTCTGTTCTAGTTCTGTTCTAGTTCTTCTAGTTCTGTTCTAGTTCTGTTCTAGTTCTGTTCTAGTTCTGTTCTAGTTCTGTTCTAGTTCTGTTCTAGTTCTGTTCTAGTTCTGTTCTAGTTCTGTTCTAGTTCTGTTCTAGTTCTGTTCTAGTTCTGTTCTAGTTCTGTTCTAGTTCTGTTCTAGTTCTGTTCTAGTTCTGTTCTAGTTCTGTTCTAGTTCTGTTCTAGTTCTGTTCTAGTTCTGTTCTAGTTCTGTTCTAGTTCTGTTCTAGTTCTGTTCTAGTTCTGTTCTAGTTCTGTTCTAGTTCTGTTCTCTAGTTCTGTTCTAGTTCTGTTCTAGTTCTGTTCTAGTTCTGTTCTAGTTCTGTTCTAGTTCTGTTCTAGTTCTGTTCTAGT